ATTATTGCTTTGATTCAGAGAAATTTTGATTATAAGTTTTCTTTAACTGAGAAAAATTTGCATTTAAATTGAAAGAAAGTTTTTTTGCCAAACAATTTTTTTGGAAAAAAAAATTTTTTCTCTTGGTACAAAAATGGATAACTTGTTATAAATTTTATATTACATAATTAAGTTTTATAGAATTTTTTTTTCTGATAATTACTTTCAGACGTATTATATTGTCCGAAGATTTTTAATTAACTCATAAGAAAGAAATGATTTTCCCGAGCCTAAAAACAGACTTTATTGATACTTCTTCTCCCTTGGAAAAATAATCTCTCTCCCTGAAACCATAGAACGAAACGAAACCAAAGAAAGAGAAGGAAAAAAAGAAAGTAATTAAATTCTTCGAATAAAGAACTTGGAACGCAAAGAGCAACTTTAACTGCTATTTTTCTTACAAATAAATTAAGAAACATTTGCAAATAATCACTATATATAATATTTATTTAGAAAATCGTAAAACTCGTGGAAAAATCAATAAATATAAAGTTTTATTATATAAAAGAAAAGAGAGCAGCAGTGGAAATAATATTTCCGTTAATTTCAAATTGATGAAAAGTAATTTAATTATAAATTTCTGCAATTTAATGTTAAATTATTCCTGCAATTATTATTTAATTTTGAATTTATTTTAATTGTGCTTAGAGATAAAATTAATTTTATATTTTATTATTCTGACTCCGATTTTCAGTGGGGAAAATTTAATTCACAATTTAAATTTAATCTCCAATTATTTTCTAAACTTAACTTTTAGTTGGTACTTTAATTAAATTTAAAGTCAATTTAATCTAACCTTAGTTAAATTAAATTTGACCTCTTAGATTTAATTAAGTTTACTTGAAATTAGGTTTTATTAAATTTAAGATTAATTTTAGTTTGTTTCGAAATTTTTGTCGAATTTTCTGTTTTTAGAAAATACGGTGATGATGAATTTTTATTTTATGCTTTTATTTTGTTTGTATTTTGAAAATAATTTTATTCTTAAATATCAATTTAAATTTAAATTAAAATTAGACCTATCAATTTATATTTCTAATCGTTATTATCAACTTTTGTATATTATTTTTTTTCTTTTCATGCAAATTAATTTTATTACTTTTTTTCTACATGGTTTTGGAAAATAATTCACTTTTGCTTATTTTTAACAAAAAAAATAGTGATTCCTGATATTTATATTTAATTTGCAAACTGTACTTGTATAGAAAAATATAAAATAAGTTTCACAATTTTGTAACTTAAAAACTTAAATTTTAAAATTTCTGCGCATTTTTCTCAGTTTTTACTACATTTTCGGAGGAAATATTCCAACGGCTAAAATAAATTTTTACTATTTTTCTAATTTAATTCGAAAATTAAGTACTAAATAGTAAATTAATAGTAATGAATAGTAAAATAATATAAATAAATAATAAAATAACAGTAAGGAATAGTAAAATTTACTCCAGAAGTAGTAAAAATTATTTACAAATTATTCTCATAAATCATTATTATTAGAATTTAGCAAAGAAATTCAATTATTTTATAACTTTTGCTACACTTTATTTATTACAATTTAAATATTATTTTCAATACATTTTTAATTGAATTTCTTCAAAAAATTGAATTATTTTCATAAATAATGAAATTCTTTGTAACAATAGAATTTTTTCAAAATAATTTTCATAAAATTCTTCGTAGAAATTTAATTAATTTAAAAATTTGTCAAAATTCAATTATTTTCAATGTCTACTATTTCAAAAAAATTTTACAAAAGAATTCAATTATTTATAAAGAAATTTTAATAAAATTCGTCTCAAGAATTCAATTATTTTCAAAAGTAATGTAATTCTTCGCAGAAATTCAATTATGTTCAAAAATATTAAAAAATTCTTGTCAAAATTTCAATTATCTTTATAAAAAAAAAATTTTTTCTCCAAAATTCAATTATTTTTAAACATTTTAACAAAATTCTTGTGAAAATTTCAATTATCTTTATAAAAAAATAAAATTCCTCTCCGAAATTCAATTATTTTCAAAAATTCAATTATTTTAAATACTTTTGCTACACTTTATTTATTACAATTTAAATATTATTTTCAATACATTTTTAATTGAATTTCTTTAAAAAATTGAATTATTTTCATAAATAATGAAATTCTTTGTAACAATAAAATTTTTTTGAAAATAATTTTTATAAAATTCTTTGTAGAAATTTTATTAATTTCAAAAATTTGTCAATATTCAATTATTTACAATGTCTACTATTTCAATAAAAATTCACCAAAGAATTCAATTATTTAAAAAGAAATTTTAATAAAATTCGTCACAAGAATTCAATTATTTTCAAAAGTATAATTCTTCGCTGAAATTCAATTATGATTTATGGACAAAAGTTTTTAAAAAATTCTCTTCAAAATTTCAATTATCTTTATAAATAATAAAATTTTTCTCCGAAATTCAATTATTTTAAATACTATTTCTACAATTTATTTATTACAATTTAAGTATTAATTCCAATATATTTTTAATTAAATTTCTTCAAAAAATTGAATTTGTTTGATAAATAATGAAATTCTTTGCAACAATAAAATATTTTTCAAAATAATTTTCATAAAATTCTTCGTAGAAATTTAATTATTTTCAAAAATTTGTCAAAATTCAATTATTGTCAATGTCTACTATTTCAAAAAAATTTCACAAAAGAATATTGAATTATTTAAAAAGAAATTTTAATAAAATTCGTCTCAAGAATTCAATTATTTTCAAAAGTAATGTAATTCTTCGCAAAAATTCAATTATATTGAAAAGTTTAAAAAAAATTAGCGTCAAAATCTCAATTATCTTTATAAATAATAAAAATCCTTTCAATTATTTTTAAAAATTAAAATAAAATTCTTGGCAAAATTTCAATTATTTACTATTTTTATCAAAGTTCTCGAAAAATGAAATTATTCTTCAAAATTTTACTAAAATTTGTCAAGAGAATTAAATTATTTGAAAATTTTGTTTATAAAATTTTTTATGAAAATTCAATTTTAAGAAACATTTAATTATTTAATAAAATATTTATTTTCGTAGTTAAATAATTGAATTCTCGTAGAATTTTCTAATAAATATTGATTTTAAAATGAATTTTAGTTAAAATTTTAGATTATAATTGAATATTGAAAGCATTATAGTGTGGATTTTTAGAAATAATAGAATTTTCAAAAGGTTTCAAATTAAAATCTTTGTAAATTTAAACTTTTCATACTTTTAATTAAGAATTCTGTAGAATTAATTTTTTTCAAAAAGTTTAATGGAATTTTTTTTTTAATTATTTAGTTTTTAATTTCTAATATATTTAATTGAGGAATGTCAGAATAATTGAAATTTCATAAAATTAAATTGTAAACAAAAGAATTTGAAAATTCTCAAAGAACATTTTCGAAAATTTAAAAAAAAATTGAAGAATTTTAGTTGGAAATTCTAGAAGTGAATAATTGTAATGATGAAAATAATTTTTGAAGAATTTACAGTAACGAAGTAGCAAGTTTTAATTATTATAAGTTTTTGAATTTCAAATTTTTGATAATTTTAATTTCTATATGAAAAAATAAAAATGATTGAATATTTATTTAAAAATGAAGTTATTGATATTTTCGAATAATTTTCGTATTAAAAACCTGGAAATGAAAAAAATAATTAAATTTTAGAAATATTTAATTAGTTTAATCTGAATAATTTTTGTAATTAAATTTTCAAAGAGAAAATTCAAATATTTTAATTAGAATAATTTGTGAATTGTATGGAATAGAAAATTGAATTATTTTTGATTAAAATAATTTTAATTAAATTTTTAGAGTAATGTTACTAAAATATTTATTATAAATGAAGTTATTGATATTTTCGAATATTTTTCGTATTAAGAACCTTGATAAATTTTGTTTTGCAATCTGGAAAGTTGAGATTTTACTGTAAATTTTGTGTAACTTATTTTATCGTTTTGTTGACGACTATTAATTGAATTTAACTTGTTAAAAGAAATTTAGAGAAAAGAAAAATTAGAAAATGAAATATAAAAATTGTGGAGAAATATTTATAAGTTTCATAGGAAGAATCAAAAAGTCTTGGAAACATTCTATAAAGGTCGCTGTGCCTTTTCTTGTCCTCTTTCTTTCGTTTCCTCTTTGAATGGCGTGTTCAAAGCACAAATCGCGAGCGCATTGTTATCGGTGGCTATTAACTCTCCGCATAGTTTTCTTCGTTAATGTTAAACGCATTCCTGACTTTTATCGTGGCACCAAAGAATAATAAAGTTGTAGCCCGTTGCAAGTATAGCGGATTCGACGTCTCCATTTATTATACTTTTCCTATATCTCGCGATCATTTACCTTAGGTATTCATAAAACCAAAAAAAAAAAAAAAAGAAGGTATTATTCAAATAGCATTCAAACGCCACCGAGAAAATTGCACCCTAATTATTTTGATACAATTTTATTAAAACCAAAAAAGTATTTATTAAATCAAAATTTTTATTAAATTCAAAGAAAAAATGAGTAATCATTTTTTATTTGTACAATAAGATTTTAATTGAATTTAATATTAAATTTGCCTCGAAATTTGAAAGAATGTAAAAAAAATTAGACGCAACAGTGAATGCAATTTGAATTACCTTTTTTTGCCCGGATGTAAAAGAATTAAAAAAAAAAAATTTTTTTTTTTGTTTGCGTAAAAATCTCGCATTTATAAATATTAATATTATTTAAAATTAAATATTCCGAAATAGCGCAGGTATAAAATATACGTTTTGTGCGAAAAGAAAGATAATATGAAACTACAATAAATGTGTATATGAAATAATAAAAATGGTAATAATGCTCCGTAAATGCTGATGTCAAATTTCTCGGTTTTAATTTCCGCTTGTTTTACGAGCTCGGAAATCGAATCAAGCCACTGGAAATTCGAGAATGGACGTTGTAAAAATATTTAAAACTCACCTGCTATACTGGAGGTGGAGGCACCGAGCCAAGCGTGGGACGATTCCAACAACTTGGCCTGAAACAAAAAAAAAAACAGAATAATAAGGTTTTCAGTAATTTTGGAATTCTTATTTTCTATTTTTAATTATTTATTTTTATTTTGCATTCTGCCAGACGCAAATTTTTTCGTTTTCGACTTATTGATTAGAGTTTGTTTAGTTTATTTTTATCTTTTTCTTGCTTTTGTAATGTTTAACGAGAGTTTTTACCAATTTTTCGTTGAATTATTTCTTTTTGGGGATTGAAGAAAAATAAGGAGTATAGTAACTTTTACTATACAATTGAGTATATATAAGTATTACCAAAAAAAAATTGCCACAGAAATGTGCAAAAATTGCAAGCAGTTTGAATTTTATTTTTGTAAATTGTAAAAGTTACTTTATATTTCTTTCCATGTTGATATAGTTCGATTTTAATTTTTATTCTCCATTTCAAAATTTTTCCCAGTTCACATTCTGGAAAATGAACAAGAAAAATTTAATTAAAATTCTTTATAAATAAATAAAGCTAGAGAGAGAGAGAAAAGAATTAAACTTAAATTAAACTTTCATTTTTTTTTTGAAGAAAAAATTACTCGTAAAGTAATTTAAACTTCTATGGGTTTTTTTTGTGTAAAAAAAAGTTGTGCAATCGTTTTTTGTATAATCTACAGAAGAGTCGTAAAAAGAGTTCCTCTTTTTTCTTGTTTTTTTTTTCTTTCTTTTTTTTTTGGACCAACTGGAATATTAAAGATTGCGAGGCACTTTATTTGATAAAGGAGATTTGCTACTTTTTTCAGCAGACGAAACTATTTTTGTTATCCCGCAAAGTTTTCGCACAACACATTCGCAGAGAAACTTTCTACTGAATGTGGTATACAAATATGTACTGTGAAATTACTTCGCAATAACATAGCAATTCAAAAGTTGAACTCACGTGAGGAAAAATAAAGTTTCCAAACTAGTCTGATTCTAAAGAGTGATATTTGCAGTTTTAAGTTTGAAGGTTTTCTCGAATCGATTCAACAAAAAAAAAAAAAGAAGAAGAAGATCTAAAAATAATAATGTTATCATTTTTGAGAAGAAAAAAAAATGAGTTATGATAATGAAAAACATTATTATCTTTTGAAAAATGAGGAAGAAAGTAATAAAATCGAGGTATTTTTAGATAGACAATTGCGCTGTAAATCTTTTTTAGTTTCTTTTTCTTGAACGATTGTATTTTTTCGAAATTACTTTCTTATTTACTGTATTTTACAGGGCTCGGATTGTGCGACTTTTTCGACTTTTTTCTGAAAAAATGCGACTATAATCGACTTTTTCGAGATTTGTTTTAGTAAAATGCGAATAAAATTTTAAAAAATTTTTCTAAATTTAAAGTAAAAAGTTTGAGTCAAAAAAATGTTCTGTTACATTTATTTACAAATTTCTTTCAAATTTTTCGAAAACATCAATAACTTCTTTTTTAAATAAATATTTAATTATTATTTTTCCATAGGAATTAAAATTCTTCAAAAGATTCAAATTCAAAACTTTTTGAAATTAAACAACTTATAAAAAATTGTTATAAAATATGAAGAAATCGATCACTCCGAGTCTTCGACTCGGAGCAATCGATGTCTTCATGTTTTATAATAATTAAAAATAACCGAGTGATAAAATCATTATTTTATATTATAAGATTTTATAAATAAAAAAATTTTTTCATTATTGTTTATGAAAATTTTTTAATTATTTTTTATGCAAATAATTGAATTATTGGGAAGAAATTTATAAAACATTAGTAAGTAATTGAATTTTGTAGAAGAATGTTGATATTTACAAAAATAATTGAAATTTTAAGGAGAATTTTAAAAAAATTTTGAAAATAATTGAATTTCTGTGAAGAATTTTATTACTTTTGAAAAACATTGAATTTCTAGGATGAATTATATTAATTTTGGGCAAATAATTGAATTTCTGCGGAAAATTTTATTAAAAGTTATGAAAATAATTGAATTCTTGCAAAGATTTTTATTAATAATTGACAAAAATTTATTTCTTGTCAAAAATTCAATTAAATTTTTGCGAAGAATTTAATTAAAATTCCTTAAAATAATTAAACTTCCGCGAAGAAAATTTTGTTGATTATAAAAATAATTGAAATGTAGAGAATTGATTTGAAATTTTTGAAAGTAATTAAATTTTTTCAATGAAATTTAATTAAAATTTTTTATTAAAAATAATTCAATTTCTTATCATTAATTTAATCAAAATTTTTCAAAATAATTGAATTTCTTGAGAAAAATTTTAGTAATAATGGAAAATAATTGAATTCTTACGATAAATTTAATGAATTTTCGAAAATAATTGATGTCATGCGAAGAGTCCAATTTTTTTTTCGAAATTAATTCAATTCCTTTGAAGAATTTTATTAATTTATAAAAAAAAAATTACTGCCAAGAATTTTAAAGTTTTTTTTAAAAATAATTGAATTCTTGTAAAGAATTTTATTAATTTAAAAAAATAATTGAATTCCTGTGAATAATTTTATTAATTTTGGCAGATAATTGAATTTCTGCGTCGAATTTTATTAAACGTTTTGAAAATAATTGAATTATTGCAAATATTTTTATTAATATTTAAAAATAATTGAAATCATAAGAAGAAATTTTTTTTAAATTTGTGAAAATATAATTGAATTTTGCAAAGAATTTTATCAGAACTTTTGAAAATAATTGAATTTCTATGATGAATTTTATTATTTATAAAGATAATTGAAACTTTGACAAGAATTTAATTAAAATTCTTTGCAAATAATTGAATTTCAGAGAAGAATTTTATTATTCACAAAGATAATTGAAATTTTGAAGAGATTTTTTTTGTTTAATATTTAAAAGTAATTGAATTTTACAGAAGAATTTTGATATTTATAAACAAATTTGAAATTTTGAGGAGAATTTAAAAAAAGATTTTGAAAATAATTTGAATTTCTGTAAAGAATTTTCTTATTTTTGAAGATAATTGAATTTTGCAAAGAATTTTATTAGAACTTTTGAAAACAATTAAATTTTTATGATGAATTTTATTATTTAAAAAATTTTGAGGAAAAATTTAAAAAAGTTTTTGAATATAATTGAATTTCTGCGAAGAATTTTATTACTTTTGAAAATAATTGAATTTCAGAGAAGAATTTTATTATTTATAAAGATAATTGAAATTTTGACAAGAATTTTATTAAATTCTTTTTTAAATAATTGAATTTCGGAAAAGAATTTTATTATTTATAAAAATAATTGACGTTTTAAAGAGAATTTTACTTCAATTTAATTTTTTTTTTTTGCTACGTAGTATAAATTTAATTGATATAGTAATTAATTAAAAAAAATTTAACGAGGGGGTAAAATAAAATTTCTCAAAGGGGAAAACAAACACTCCTCATCTGGGAAATAGAATTGGAATTTTCCGTTGGACAATATTATATAAGATGATGGAAAATTCTGAATTGAAAAATAAAAAAGAAAGTTGACAATTGAGTTATTATAAAAGAAATTTTCCACCCACACTTTTCTTCCTTATATACCATTATTATTTCGCCCAGTGCGAAAACAAATATTGACAATTGTGAACAAATAAAAAGTGCATTCTCGCAAGTTTGCTAGGTACATCGGCATTATTGCGCTACCTCGGCAAACACCTCCTTTCGCCGAAAGGCACAGAAAAGAGAAATAGAGCGCGGATAGCTGTGAAAGAGAAAAGTAAATTTCATACAGAGTTGGATCAGAGTTGAGAAAAAAAAACAAAAAAAAAAAAGTCAAGTTAGAGAGAGAAAAGTCGAAGAAAGTGAAAATGAACGAGCCACGATTTTAAGCGACGGTAACGAGAGAGCTTCGCGGATGAAACCCTTAAAAATTAATTTGAAAAGTCGTTGTACGAGGAGAAGGATCAGTAAGAGGAGATATAGAGTGAGGGGGGGCAAAATGGAGAATAAGCGAAGTTCCTGGAAATACGGGATTGTATGCGAAAAATTTTGCGCAGGGAAAAAAACTTTTCAAATGAGCCAACTTTGAGTGTGTCTTTCGTTTTTAAACGGCCTCGTCTAGGCCCTTCTCGAAAATATCTCATATTAGCAAAGTTGTCGCTTTTTCGGGGCTCCTTTTTTTTCTCTCTCATATTGCCAAAGTACGCACACTTAAGACTCAAGGGATACTGGGAATTTTGAGTTTTACCTTTTCTCGCTTTATCCCTCCACTTAACTTTTTTTGGAGAATGTTAAAAATCTTCTCAAGAATGTAATTATTTTCAATAGAATTTTTAATAAAATTTTTTTGAAATAATTTAATTATTTTTCAAAGTTCTTAATAAAAGTCTTCAAAAATAAATCAATTCTTCTTAAAAAATTGTAAAAAAATTATTCCAAGAATAATTTAAAAATTAAATTGTAACAAAAGTTGTAGCAAAAGTTGCAACAAAATTCTTTCCAGAAATTCAATTATTTTTAAAAAAATTAAATAAAATTCTTCTCAGAAGAATTCAATCATTTTACAATACAATTTTAATAAAATTATTTGAAAATAATTGAATTATTTTTCAAAGTTCTAAAAAAAAATTCTGTAAAATGAATTCTTCTTAAAAATTTTTAATATAATTACTCCAAGAATTCAATTATTTGCAAAAGTTATAACAAAATTCTTATCAAGAATTCAATTATATTGAAAATAACAAAATTTCGTGCAAAAATTAAATTATTTTCAAAAAATTTAATAAAATTTTTTGAAAAAATTCAATTGGCTTCGTAAATCGCAAAATAACAAAATTTTTCGCAGACATTAAATTATTTTCAATTTAATAAAATTCTTCGAAAGAATTCAATTATTTTTATAAATAAATAAAATTCTTCAAAAGAATTTTCAATTCAATAATTCAATTATTTTTATAAACAATGAAACTCATCGCAGAATTTTCAAATAATTTTAATCGAATTGGTTCTAAAAAAATTAATTATTCTTAAAAATTTTATTAAAAAAATTTAAAATTCGTCGAAATAATTCTAATATTT